ATACACAGTTTTTTCAATTCGAAATGAGTCACGTTTACAAATATTTGTTTGGCTGGCGGCAAAATATTTTTAAAAATATAACAGACGTAATTAATAAATCATGTAACGAATCTAGAGTTAATTATTATCATAAACTGCTGATTATAGTAAATTTAGCGAATTAATGTAGAAGTAGAAGCTTTTGAAAAAAGTGTTTGCTGCTTCGAGAGGGAAAAAGTTGTTGGATCGTTAATTGTTGAAAAAAATTAAAGCAAGGTTTTACAAATGAAATCTCATTTTTTTCTTATTTATCACTGTATGTTGTTATTTGGCGTTTTTTAACACGTAATATAGTAAAAAAAATAATAATAAACAAATTAAATTAAAAACAAAAAAATAGTTCAACCCTACCAATTGACCATTGAATTTGTATTCACCTCAATGTTTGAAGCTGCTACGTTAATATTCTAAAGTACTATTAATAAAATTAAAATGGCATATTCTAATCAATAAAACACATTTGTAAATGAATAAGTTTGGTCTTCTAAAAATATTTTCAATCGAATTTTTTTTCATACTTTACTTCCAACATACAGAAGGAACTCAGAAAAAGTGCGTGCGTTAAAAAAGCGTTTAGTCTTGGAGTGACAGAAATAATGAAAAATGTAAAATAATATTTGACAGGAAAACGGAGAGTGAGATGAGCATTAATCAAATGGAAAATGAGTGTAATTATGGAGGATGTTTTTTCTTTTGACCTAACTAAGCTAATAAACACTCGACTATAAAAAATTATCTTATTTTTTAACTAAACTTTCATTGAATATTTGATACTGTTACGAAAATAGATGATTAAATTTTATTCCAAAAGAAACAAAATTTATTACTCACTTTTCCTAAAGCCAAACAAAAATATTTCTGAAACTGCGAATTACATGAACTTGAAATCTTCACAATTAAAAAAGTACTAAAAATAAACTATTAGAATGACTATTCCAAGACAACGACAAAACGCATTACAATGTAATAATAGAATTTTTATGCTTAAAAAACTATGATGATTGAAACACTTACGATAAAGTGACAGTTGTTGACTTTCTTTTATACATGGAAAAAATACGTATATAACATATATTTTAAAAAACGTGATAAACAAAAAGACCACAGAGTTATCGAGCTAAATAAAATACATTAGCTTTTAGATTCAAACTATGACAAAATTACTATTAAAATAAGCTCCTCTACACTACGATTCTTGCAAAATTTTTAAANATAGTAATATTACTAATTATAATACAAAATAATAATAATAATAATACTTATAATAACAATGAATTAACAAGAAATTTATGTTATTTAGTTCTAACCACTTGAACTAAATAAAATACATTAGCTTTTAGATTCAAACTATGACAAAATTACTATTAAAATAAGCTCCTCTACACTACGATTCTTGCAAAATTTTTAAATTTCTTGAATTTTAACTCTTTACAGGCAATTTTTTTTTTTGTTTCGTAAAGACTTTTTGAATAAAAGTCGTAAAAATTTTATAATATGGCTTACAATAGTATAGTACACATACTGTTCACAAAATAATTTTCATACTTTAATCGTTACAAGATTAACAGTGTACGTTTTAAAATCAACTACTAACATTCATTCGGCCACATAATTACGTGTCATATTTTAATACAAAGAACCCTTGTATTAAAGGTATAGGATTTTGAGAATGTTTATAATTAAACCTGTAAGAATTTAATTTTGTATAATTTTTAAGTACGTTAAGGCGATATTTCATTTAATTGAAGAAATTCGACTCAGTTGGGAAAAATGTTTTACAAAATTTTAACTCACTGAGCGGCTAAAAACTTAGGTCAAATTATTTTGCTCTAGCTGATACATCTGTACAATCAAGCATTGTCATTAGCACTTCTGTGCAATCCTTCACACAAAAATAATCATGACAAACCTTGGTTTTCCTACTTTTTAAAAATGAAAATTATTCGGATTTCTTGTCACTCACTGAAACTTTTCTTTCAATAAAACATAAGCAATTATGTTACAGAATGAAAAATGACGATTACCACAATCGTTTCTTTTTTCGAAAAAAAAAAAAAAAAATGTTAACCAAGAAGCAATACTGTTGATGCCTATTAAGTAAAAAGAAGTAATGACACGAGCCTTTTTGCCCGGGTAAAGTTAAATGGATGAAATACTTTCAACATACACAATGACAACTGCACAAATCATAAAAGGAAAAAATCAGATCATAAAATTTAGTGAAAAAAAAATGGTGGACGACCGCTTACACCAAAAAAAAGAAGCAAAAATATTTGGCGTGGTTGCAAAAAAAATTCCAAGTTGAAGTCGTTTCAGAAAAATCTTTAAGCAAATACGCGATTGTCTTTCGAGTTTTTTCGTTTTTTTTCCTTTTTTTTTTTTTTTTTTTTTTTTTTTTTTTTTTTTTTTTTTTTTT